TCCCTTTTTTTAATATCTTTTATTTTACTAATTTCTTTTATTATTTTCTTAACATTTAATCTTCCTCTCCTCATCCAATTCTCTTAATTCCATGCGTTCTTTCCTCATCGCCTTATCTTTATCAGTTTTCCTTATTCTCTCTTGTCTCTCATTCTTTCTCTCCTCATCCCTTCTTAGCCTTTTTTTTCTCTCCTCATTTCATCTTTATCACTTTTCTTATCGGTCTCTTCTCTTCCTAACCTCATTTCGTGTTTGCTCATCCTTTTCTCTTGTTAATCTTATTCATTGTTTCTTCGTTTTCTTTTCTAATCAACCTCATTTTCTTCTTAACCTTACCTCATCCTCTTCTCAACCTCATCCCTTCTCTCCTCATCCTTGTTTTAACCTCATCTCTCCTCATCCTCTTCTTAACTTCACCTCTCCTCTCTTCATCCTCATCCTCTTTTTAACCTCACCTCACCTCCTCCTTAACATCACTTCTCTCCTCCTCATCAACCTCTTCTTAACTTCATCTTTTCTCTCCTCATCATCATCCTCTTTTTAACCTCACCTCTTCCTTCCTCATCCTCTTTTTAATCTCACCTCTTCTCTCCTCATCCTCTTCTTAACTTCATCTCTTCTCTCCTCTTTTTAACCTCACCTCTTCTTTCCTCATTCTCTTTTTAACCTCACCTCCTCTCCTTATCCTCTTCACCTTTTCTCTCCTCCTCATCCTCCTCTTAACTTCACCTCATCTCTCCCCATCCTCTTCTCTTCTTAACCTCAATCCCAACGTTTCCTCAATTCTCTACTCTTTTCTAACCTCAACGTCCTCATGGCTAGACGTCTCGAATCTATGCTTGATGAGTAGGCCTATGTGTTTTGTTTTTTTTTTCTCTCTCTCTCTCGGCCTAAAACTTCCTCGGATGACTTCGGAGAGATCGCCAGTTGGCACCAACGGCTGAGGTTCGGAGACAAAGAAGTTATCGGAAGTGCTATACCGAGTTTGATGTTGGCGATGTCTTTTTGGTGGTATGTTGGAAGGTGGCTTTGTCGTGGTGTTGTCTGGGATGGTTATGGTAGTGGTGGTGGGGGGGGGTAATGGTGGCGGTGGTGGGGGTTGTTGGTATCAGGTATTGTTGGTTTATGTGTAGGTGTGTGGTTGTGGTTTATGGTGTCTGTATGGTATTTCACGAGTGATATCTAATTACCAACAATACTTTGGGCTTTGATGGTATCATTATCATTTGCTACATTATTTCCAACACAATACTTCCATCCTAAAATCTATTGCCATTGTTGTTGGTGGTTTACGGTATCTGCACGGTAGTTCTAGAGTAATATATTATCATCAATACGTTGTAATTTAATGGTATCATCATCATTTGCTACAACACTATACTTCCAACCCCAAAGTTATTGCCATTGTTGAGCTGATATCAGGTATTGTTGGTCTATTCATGTTCGTGGTTTATGGTACCTGCACGGTATTTCTAGAGTAATATATAATCATCAATACGTTATACTTTATTGGTATCATTATCATTTGCTACACTAAACTATCCCCAAAGCTATTGCCTTTGTTGAGCTTAGCCACAGCCTCCGACACATCCACCCCCTCTTGTCACATTTCCTTCGAGATGCTTATCATATGTCTCACAGCCACGCCCATCACAAGGACGCCGGTCCTTGGAAGCCATAAGATGCATCAAGACTCAAAAAAAGAAAGAAAAAAATCTTAACATCAAACCTCAAATACAAAAAAAGTCTCAATTTCAGGCATAAAAAAAGCCTTACCATTAAGCCTTCAGGAACAATAAAAAAAAGAAAAAATAAATCTCAACATCAAGCCCCCTTCCCCCCCCCCAAAAAAAAACGTCACAGGTAATCGGGAACCCGTAGCCGTCACGCCGTCACGCCGTCTGCGAGACCACGACGGCTTGAGGTGACGAGGAGCCGGCTTAAACGGGCGCCCGGGGTTGGGTTACGGCGGGAGGCGCGGGCGGAGAGATGCACGGAAGCCGAGGGCGACACCGGAGGAGGCTCTGTCACGCTAGAACTGCAAGCCAGATGCGAGGCTTCCTTTCAGATTTCCGAAAGTGGAAACAAAATGTATATATATACTCGCACATACATACGTAAACATGTATGTGTTTGTATCTAGATGTATAAACATGCGCGTGTAAACATGCACACATACAAACACACACGCAAAAAATGTGTGCATATATATGTATAATACATATCTACTTATACATACCCACACACACACACACACACACACACACACACACACACACACACACACACACACACACACACACACACACACACACACAATATATATATATATATTATTATATATATATAATATAATATATATATATATATATATATATCAGCATGTTAATTCACCGCAGATAAATGTACCCAAAGTATTTTGACGAGAGAGAGAAAAAGAAATTTCAAGTGACCTTACAAGTTAGCTTTGTTTAAGATATTCGTGCTGTGCTTCTGTGTGTATACTTCTGGATCTGCGTCATATCCCTTTTGGTAACAATTTCATTCTCTGATGTTGTGGAAATTACAAAATGCAGGTGTGCGTGCGGAGCAACGTCACCCTCTCCTCCCTCTCCTCTCCCCCTCCCTCTCTCTCTCTCCGTTTCTCCAACTCACTCACTCTGTGTGTGTGTGTGTGTGTTTGTAATGCACACACACCACACACACACACACACACACACACACACACACACACATATATATAAATATATATAAATAAATATTATATATACACACATATATAATAAAGATATATTAATATATTTAATATACATACACATGCATGAAAATATTAGTAATTACAGTAAAACAAACGCCACCATTGTTGCCATATTCGCGCGCATTAAGTTAGCTCATTCCTGTTTCAGGTAAACGGACACCCCATGACAGAAGTGACACCGTCGAGCCACAGGGGGCGTCGGTATGACACGGTGTCATGAGCCGTGATGGCAGAGGAGGCTCGCATCTTCAGTCATGTTCCCTTGCATGACCCCCACCCCACCCCACCCCCCGGAAGTAGGTGCGCCCCGGGGTGTATGGTGCGCGACCCCTCAGGATACGGTCGGCGGACGGCGCAAAAACAATCTATTTTTGCCTCGCCTGCGCTGGGTGGACAGCTGCCCCGCCGTGGGTCGTTCGGTCGAGCTCGCCCGCGCTCGCCCTCAACGCCCGCGCTTCTTGCGAGACTCGAATCACGTTAATGAACCATACTTCGTTGTTTTACATCTGATACTACCTGAATAACTCCGCATCTAGACTTACTGGTTTACTGAATTCATTATATCTTCCGCTCTGCCTTGACCTTCCTCCTTACTTTCCTGAACCGCCCCGTGCAAGCAGCGACATGCAAGCGGCCGACGATTCAGCGCACCTCCACGGGGTCTGAATTTCATGACCGTGCTTGACTCCGGCACCTTCAGGAGCGAGCGCCGTGAATCATGCTGGTTACGTCAACCGTGTTTTTATTCGGGCGAGAAGAGGCTGTGTCCCTCTCACATTCTCCCTATGTCTTGTTCGCCGTTCCACCGCCGTTCACTTTTCCCCGAGCGCCGCGGTCCGTCTTGAGGCCTACTCGTGGGTACCTAGTAACTAACGGAGGCTCCATTTTTTCTCTCCTTTATTTTTAATCGGCGATACGAGTTTGATGCAAGGTTGGAAGTCTTTTGTCTGCTGCGGTCCGCGATGACGCAACTCTACAGACCTTGGAACCAGTATTCTTTGGAAACATTTTTTTCTCTTCTCATTTTCAACTTGTTCCTGGCAAAGAAAAATGTCTTGCACAGCTACTGCCTGGGTCTACACCCTGTAAAAGTGGGTAAACCAATCAAAAAAACTCATTAACGTGGAAATAAAATAAAGCGCAGGTGACGATATTCTACGCAGTTCGAAAAATAGTGAAATATAACGTACGGCTGAAGAACAGATGTGCGCGTGTGGGTGTATTCGACCACTCCGTCACAGAGGGGAACCAGGCGCATTTGACCTTTTTGCTTTCGCACTCCCGTTACTATTATAATATATCCACGGCCGGGGCTACTTTCGCTTCTATGGATATTCATGCTCCTCGGTGGCGCTTTACAAGAGGTTAAGCGAGAAAGGTTAAATAAATTGAGCCTTACTAACGTGTGTCCTCATCCTACAGACAAAAGCTCCCGCCCCATTTTGTGGCTAATATTTTTTCCTCCCTTTTTTCCTGCGCGAGACCTTTTATCAGTCTATTTTTAACTTTGATCCCGCTGAGTATATAAATAGAACACCAAAAAAATAACAGAACATTTATAAATCCAAGAAAGGTAATGAAGTGTACCAATCAATGTTTTTTTTTTAATCACATCTCTCGCTGTCTCAACCTTGAGAAGCACAAACCCACATCAAAATATATTCACTCTTTATCACACATCCCGCAGCACATCAAGAGCGATTTCGATATTGCATAATCTACATCCTGAGTTCTTCGCTGTTTATCCTAGATGCAAATTACCGCGGTTCTCAAGGTCTAGGGTGCGCAAACCTATATTATTTTTTTTGTTTCTCCTGTCCACCAAACATCAGACCTTGAAGATGAGGAATCCATTTCGTCCGCGCGAAAAAAGTCGCGAAACTCTGCTCCTGTGCCTTAAATAAACAAAGAATCACAGGATGAGGTACGCAGTTCTCCTGAAGGCTACCTCTTGCCTCTGGGCTCTGTGTCGAACCTCCACGTTCCCTCCTTCCCTCCTTTTATCTACTGCTTCCAGGGTACGTTTCGCAGCCCTGGGTACTCATGATCCCCCAGAAATCAATATCTAAACACTTTTTTTGGATCAATATTCAGCGAGACAGTACAGCAATCACAAACACATCGCGCTCCGTTCAAAGCAAAAACTCGAGTTGTGTACGTCGCATCCACTGTCGTTCGATTACCACTTTGCACTCACGAGATATAGAGAAAAATACGTAAATAATTCACTCATAACACTCAC